ACCCACTGCCATCAACACTTCTGCTGCATCTGCACCAAATGACAGGCGACCCTCTAGTAGCTCCACCTCTCAGGTGCTGCACCAAATGACAGGCCACCTTCTATTGCTTCACCTCTCACGTGCTGCACCAAATGACAGGCCACCCTCTAGTAGCTCCACCTCTCACATGCTGTACCAAATGATAGGCCACCCTCTCGTAGCTCCACCTCTCACGTGCTGCTTATGGGGCAGCAGTTCCATTTGCCTAAGGCTGCAGTTATCAAAGGCTTTAACTTAGATCCAATATCTCCTTGCATTGGAGTATCTGGCTCTGCTCTCAGAGCTGCTCTCCGAAGGCACAGGAAACAAACCTAGCCCTCTGCCTCTCGGGCCTCCTTTCCTGATGTGTTTTCTCTGAGGTCTTCACTCCGTGAACCGTTCCACATGGGCTGTGGTTTCTGCTCTCCTTTCTGAGTTTGGCAGCTTTCCTGGGTATAAGTTTGTTGGTGTCTTGTTTTTAAATATGTCCCTCTCAGCTAAGCTTGTTGTGCTTCAGGTAGTGAGAACGTGTTGACCAACACAACTTATCACCTTCATTCAGTGGCTGGACCATGTCTGTGGCCTAACGTATGTTATTCCTGTTGAACTCCTTAAATCTTTACTGCCACACCCTTCCCCACAAGTTTTTGTTTTGTTTATTCTCATTTCTTGAACTGGTAATACAGTACAACCACATGTACAAAATATTTGATCAGGAGTGTCCTTCCTACTCCTGTTCCCCAGCACCCAACACTCCTTCCCAGAGGTATACAATAAAATTTCATCCATTTTAAGTATACAGTTAACTTTTAGTAAATTTACAGAGTTTCGCAATCATCACCACAATCCAGTTTTAGAACATTTCTGTCATTACCAAAAGGTCCCTTGTACCCCTTTGCAGTCAATCCTCATTCCCAGCCCCAGGCAACCTCTCATCTGCCTTCTGCCTCTTCTGGAGATTTAATGTATATAGCATCCGATGTGGTCTTTTGCATCTGCCTTTTTTTGTTAACATAATGATTTCAAGGTTCATCCGTGCTGTAGTATGCATCAGTGGTTCCTTTTTGTTGCTGAATAGTATTCCATTTTATGGATATACCACATTTTGCTTATCTTTCAGTTGATGGACATTTGGATTGTTTGATTTTTTTGAATAATGTGAGTGCTGCTATTAATACTTGTGTAAAAGTTTTGTGTGGGCATACATTTTCATTTCTTCTGGGTTTTTACTCAGGAGTGAAATTGGTCAGTCATACAGTAGGTTTATGTTTAACTTTATCAGAAATTGCCAAAGTGTTTTTCCAAAGTGGCTGTATCATTTTACATTCTTTCCTGCAACGTGTGAGGGTTTCGGTTTCTCCACTTCCTTGTCAACACTTGCAGTTGTCCACCTTTTTATTTATAGCCATTCTACTGGGTGTTAACTGGTATCTTGTGAGTTTAATTTGAATTTCCCTAATGACTGATGATATTGAACATTTTGTGTGCTTATTGGCCACTCTTACATCTTCTTTGATGAAGTGTCTTTTTAAATCTTTTCACCCATTTTAAAATTAGGTTATCTTCCCACTGAGTTGAAAGAGCTCTCTGTATACTCTGGTTACAAGTCCTTTATCAGATGTATTTTTTGTAAATAATTTCTCCCAGGTTGTGGCTTTTGAAGTGCAAATGGTTTTAATACAGTAATGACGAAGTCCAGTTTAAACTGTTTCTTTTATGGTTTGTGGATTGTACTTGGGGTGTTATATTCAAGAACTGTTTGCCTAACCAAAGTCACAGAGATGTTCTCCTATGTTTTTCATCAAAAGTTTATTGTTTTAATTATTATGTTTAGGTCTACAATCCATTTTTAGTACACTTTTTGTGTGTGGTGTGTTGTCTAACTTCATCTCTTTGCATAGGGATATTTAATTGTCCCAGCATTATTTGTTCAAAAGAATATTATTTTCTCCAATTAGTTGCTTTGGCCCCTTTGTTGAAAACTAATTGATCACATACGTAAGACTTCATTTGGAATTTTTATTCTGTTCCATCAGCACAGACTTCAGGACTTATATATTCAAAGAAATGTTGTTGTTGTTTTTTCCTTAAGACAGAGTCTCACTCTGTTGTCCAGGCTGGAGTGCAGTGGTGCAATCTCAGCTTACTGCAGCCTTTGCCTCCCAGGTTCAAGCGATTCTTCTGCTTCAGCCTCCCGAGTAGCTGGGACTACAGGTGCACACCACCACGCCCAGCTAATTTTTGTATTTTTAGTAGAGACCGGGTTTCACCACATTGGCCAGGCTGGTCTCGAACTCCTGACTTCCTCATCCACCTGCCTCAGCCTCCCGAAGTGCTGGGATTACAGGCATGAGCCACTGTGCCCGGCCAATCTGTATCTATCCTTATATCAATACCACAATGCCTTGATTGCTGTAACTTTTTAAGATTTGAAATCACGAAATGTAAGTCCTCTACCTCTCTTTTTTTTTTTTCAGTAACTTTTGGCTCTTGTGGTCCTTGCCATTTCCATATAAAGTTGAGATCATTTTGTAGATTTCTTGAAAAATGCTTGCTAGAATTTTGATAGAGATTGTGTAGAATCTACAGATTAATTTGGGGATAATTGCCATCCTAACAAGTTTGAGACTTCCAATCCATGTATGGTGAATGTCTCACCATTTATATTGACCTCTGATCTCTCCCAGCAATGTTTTCTAGTTTTTAATGTGCAAACCTTGCACTTCTTTTGTTAACTTTATTCCTAAATATTTTATTCTTTTTGATGCTATTGTGAGTGAGATAGTTTTCTTAATTTTATTTTCAGGTTGTCACTTGCTAGAACATAGAAATACAACTGATTTTTTATCTTATTAATCTTATATTCTGCAACCTGGGTAACCTTGGTTATTAGTTCTAGTTCTTTGTGGATTCCTTAGTATTTTCTACAGAGAAGATCATGTCATTTGTAAATAAAACCAGTTTTACTTCTTCCTTTCAATCTGGATTCTTCTCTTTCAGAGACATTTTATAAATAAAAAAGCAAACACCTACATACACTTTTTTAGTACCTAACATGCTTTCTTCCTTTCTTTTATAGCTGCAGAGAAGGTATAATGTATTTCATGTCAGTCACTTCTTTTTTATGTTCCTTTTTTTAAGGAGAAAATAAAAAGTTTTTTTTAACATCATGGTAGTCTCTAGTTTTATATTAGTGTTTTATATTTTACCATCTAAGTCATCTGTTCTTTCTAAAATGCAGATTTGGTTTCCATTTCTGGATGGGGAAACTGACACAAAGAGGTTGTGTCTTGCCTAAGTAGAGACTGCTAGTAAAGGGAAGACCTGAAACTGGCCTAGCTGTTTGGAATCCTGACACACAGCTTTTTTTTTTTTTTCTGCATCAAAGTTGCTGCCATTCCTCCTGCCTAATGAGCAGACCTTTACAATTGCCCCTACTAAACATGCTCTGATTTAGCCCATCATTCCTGTTATTACTTGGGATCCTGACAGAGGCTCTCTCTCTGATGAGTATTGTATGTAAATTCTCCTGTTTTCCCTATCTCTAAGACATTTATGTGTAAAATCTTAAGAAGGAATAGCCAGCACCAAACCCAGTGATTGCACACAGTAATTGCTTAGTAAATATTTGTTGTCAAAAGCAAGATGCACCACTCAGTAAAGACATCTCTCTGTTTTGAAATTATGTTTGGATAAGGTTGGTTCAATCCGTTATGATTCTATCAACTTGTATTATCATCCAACCCATATAACTCCATCTTGCCCTCAAAGATGCTATGAAATGTTTTGGCATTTTGTTCAAATCTAGGTACAGTATGTTACGTATTCTTTTGGTTAGCCAGTAAAGTGACCTTATCTACTAGAGAAAACAAGGCTAACCTGGCAGGGCATGCTCTGCCTGCCTGACTGAGCCTGGCTTAAATCTGCTCATCTTTTTTTTGAACAGTTCCTAGCAAATTATCTGATTCGTAATGCATCCTAAGTTTTACATGTCATCAGTGTTCATCCCACTAGTTTGCAATGCCTACCTTTCTGACAAAGTATTTCCTTTCTTCAACTGTCTAATATAGATCTTCCTCACCAAAATTCTGTTACAAGTTTCTTTGTGACTCTGGAATATGGTTTATCTAGCTGAAGGGATCAGATATCCTCAGTTTCCCATCCTCACCCAGGCTTTAATTTACCTCCACCAGACCTGCCTAAGTAGAAAATTCCCTGGCATTTATTCAAAATATAGATGCCCAGACCCTTTCCCTAGAGATTCCAATTCATTATTCTGGATTAGCCTCCCTCTGTCCTTATTAACGATGGAGATATTAACAATGAACAAGTTTAAGAAGTACTATTTTACACTATAATATTGTGTTCAGCTATATTTTGTTAATCTTTTTGTCATCTACCGACATTCCACCATCAGCTGCAATCTCAGAAATTGCCTTCATTGCTCTACTTGCTCTGAACGTAATTAAAAGGGCTTTGGGACTCTCTAATACTTTTTGCAATACTCTACTCATCAGGACGTCTCACGAGCCTTGCAGGTCTTTGGTGTTTGTCTTAATATACGTGTCTGAGTCAGCTCTTAATTGGAGAGCACTGTCTTCAGTTCATCACTTTTTTTTACCTATCTCCAGCCCTCTTTATCTCACATGAAAATTATATGCAGGTGTCACTTCCGAGTTTCATTCTGAAGATACATCAGACTAATGTTTGGCTAGCATTCTCTTCAGAGTTTTTCCAAGCCCGGTGAAAATAGCCAGGCTTTTTTTGTCTTACCACCTTACAACAGCTTCAGTCCTATCCAACTACAACATTCTCCCTATCACAGATATAAGGCAGCATGTTCACAGTATCTCAAGCTTCTTCTAAATGCATCTCAACAGTTTGAATTGGATTAGAAAGAGGACTTGTTGGCTTGCTTATCCTGTGGGTAACTGTGACATTGACTGCAGGTAATAATAACAAGATCTATTTTATTTTTCTAGGTAGCAAACCATGTGATTTCTTCTGACTCTATTTCCTCTTCTGCCAGTAGTTTCCTGAGCTCGAACTCTACTTTTTGCAACAAGCAAAATGCACACATGTTAAACAAGGGCATACAAGCAGGTAATTACTTGAATCCAAACTTTTTCATTGAAATACATTGAAATGGCTCTTTGGCTCTTAAACATATAAGATACTCAACCTCAATCATAATAAAGGACATGAAGATAAAACTATATCCAAGTGCCAGTTTTCATCTTATCAGGTTGGCAAAAATTCAAGTTTGATGGCAAGTTTGTGGGCAAGAGTGTAGGGAAGTGGGTTCCCTTGTGTATTCCAGTGAGAGTAGAAGTTGGTTCACTATGAAAGACAATTTGAAAGTTCCTATCAAAATTACTTTCACTCAGCATTTTTACTTTTGAAATGTCTGCTATATACTATGAATATGTGGAATTTAACCTAAAGATATACTTGCATATGTGCAAAATAGTGTACAAAATTAACCACTAAAACATCATTTATAGCAGGAGATTAAAATGAATTTAGGTGTTCCTCAATAACTGAATGATTACATAAATTATTGTATATCTAGATAATGAATGAAATTCTGCATAGAATGAGGAAGCTCTGTACTAACATGGAAAGATCTCCAAGGCATATAATTGATTTTAAGAAAAGGTACAGAACAGTGTATAGCATACTACAATATGAATTTTTTTTTTTTTAATGAAAGAAATAAAGGAGGGAAGAGAATTGCTTGAATGTGCCAAATGAATTCTCTGGAACCATATGGGGTTGTGAACAGAATATATGAAGACCAGAAGCAGGAAGGAGGATTTTTAGCTATTGCCTTTCTATTCCTTTTGGTTTCATAAAATAAAAATAAAAACTTTCATCTTGATTTGTTTCTTCCCCTCAAATCCTGTCTTTACTTCTGTCAACCTCTCCCTTACCTGGGTGACTACCAAAAGGAATCTAAGTATTTATTGTCTTTCTGACTTGGGATCAGAGTTGAAATCCTTTACCCTTTGAACCCATATTTGTTCTTCTTTCCCTCTAATACCTAAAATGACTTACAAAGAAAACCCTTTCTTTTTTCTTCTCCCTCTTTTTCCCTCCTACTCTCTCCTGTCCTTCCTTCTCTTCCTCTCTCTGTCTTCCCATCCCTCCATCCCACACAAAGGGATTGTATTTTTGAAACATTAGAAAGGGTTCACGTACTCACTTGAATAAACCTGTCGACTCAGCCTCAAGGTTACTCCCAGAGACACCTATGATCCTTCCCCTCAGGTAACTTGGAGATTGTGAACGGTGCCAAAAAACACACTCGAGATGTTGGGATAACTTTCCCAACTCCAAGTTCCAGCGAGGCTAAATTGGAAGAGGACAGTGATGTGACTTCTTGGTCAGAAGAAAAACGTGAAGAAAAACTGCTCTTTACCAGTTATCCTGGAGACAGAAAGTTAAAAAAGAACAAGAAGAATTCCCATGAAGGTCAGTTTCTCATTCCAGATCTTGTAGTAAAGAAACTAGTGAATTTCAAGTCCCCTGCGATGCTGACTGTGTGTTTCCAAGTGACTCTATGTGGTCCCCACCTACCCCCAGCCTCCACCTTGTCAGGTTTTCAAAGTCCAGCACTGCAGTTACACAGTCATCCCTGCAGTGAAACCAGACTCAAGGGCACCCTGTGGCTGCTGACAACTGAGACCCTTGAGAGACTCTATTATATGCATGTCCTTGATGAGAGCTGGGTGGTGCTGTAAAAAAGTGAAAAATCTGTTTTCCTTCTAAAAACTATTTCCTGTAGGAGTTTCCTGGTTTGTTCCTGTGGAAAATGTGGAGTCTGGATCAAAGAAGGAAAATGTGCCCAAGAGTTGGGGCCCTGGCGTCTCCTGGTTTGAACCAATAACCAAGACCAAGCCGTGGAGGGAGCCACTGCGGGAGCAGAACTGGCAGGGGCAGCACCTGGATGGTCGGGGCTCCCTGGCAGGCCCAGGCAGAGAGGATGGCAGAGACCCACTGAAGCCGTTTGTGAGAGCAACCCTGCAGGTGTAGTGACGTTGACTTAACTTTAGCCCTACGTGTAGGGAGAAGAAGGGCAAGGCACAGAGAAGCTGGCTGTGTCATTTGGTGAGCTGAGGTGTAGGCCCGAGACCCTCTTTTCTAGCACCTCTGCAGTTCACCTGTTTTCACGCATGAGGGCTGGGTTTCTCATCGTCCGTCAAAGGCTGCCTTACTCTTAACCATAGATGGTGCATCACCCTCAGGATCTGGGGACAAGGCCACAGGAGGGAGGATTTGCAGTTCTGCTTATCGGCCTTGTGGGTCCTTGTGTGTGGAGGGCCCAGAGGCCTGACGCTTGTATGGCCTCATGCGTGTTCCTTCATGTCCTCAACTGCTGTTTCTGCTCCATGTCAGATTTAAAGGAAACCAAGTCTCTTCTGATATGTCCCTTAGGGGATAAAGGAAATGTTATTAATGATGTATTTGTTTAAATCTTTAAATAGCACTGTAGGCAGAGCTGTATTGCATTGATGTTTTGGAGAGTTGTAATTGCCGTAGTCTTAGTTCCTGGCCTATGCTGAAGGCACGTCTTTGTTCACTGCGGGTTCCAAGCTGGAGCTCTCCCCCACAGAGAGGTGTCGGGAGATTTTTCAACTCTAGATATTTTCTCGGCATTTGAATCAGGCTTCCCCATACCTCTTGGGCAGGTGGTGTTTTTCCAGGCATTTGGAGAGTAGATTGCATCATTAATGTGAGGCTGAGCATTTTCTCTATTTTTTTTTTTTTTTTTTAAGGAATCGCTTCAGTTTCACAGACCTGACTTCATCTCCAGCTCTGGGGAGCGGATAAAGCGCCTGAAGTTAATAGTCCAGGAGAGGAAGCTGCAGAGCATGTTACAGAGCGAGCGGGATGTGCTATTCAATATTGACAGGGAACGGCAGGGCCACCAGAATCGCATGCGCCCACTGCCCAAGAGAGGTACGCCCTGCCCGTTCACTTTCCTATGAGTGGAATAGAGAAGGCAAGGTCTGCTGCTGTGCTGCAGAGCCCTGCTAAAGGCCAGGCCAGGCCAGTTACATGGGCAGACAGCGACCTTTTGCTTGCCAAGACTCAAACCTTAGCTATCAGAACCTCCCTAGCTTAGCCTTCGGCACATTCATGATCCAACTAAGCCCAGTTACTCTGGCCCTGTCCCTGCGTCTTAAACCACCTTTGTGTCTGTGAGCAAGTTAGTTCCAAAAGTATATTGATTTTTCCTGAAAAGATGGGGCTGATTCCAGGCTTGCTTACCTCTTAGGATGGTAATAATTAGAATACTACTAATAATAAACACCTAGTCCTTACATCTTGCCCAGGCACTGTTCACATTAGCGCTTACAACATTCTCAGTAGATACTATTAATATATTTACTTTATAGTAAGAAAACTGAATCAAAGGGAGATTAAGTACCTCTCCCAAGATGACATACCCAGGTGTGCTGCTGTGGATCTGCATTCTTAACAATTATGATAATCAGACCTTGATAAAATAATGAAAGCTCTGAAGACTACAAAGCACTATCTAATTCTTTCATCCAGCCTTACCTGGAAACTGGCCAGTTTTTTAATTCAAAGCCTAGTCTTTGCTACAGAGTGTTAGGTCCTTAGGGCCTTAGGCTGCTGTCCCTGTTACCCTAGTCTAACCCTGGCTTGCCTTGGTCATTGCTCCCCACCCAGTCTTGCCAGCTCAGAGTAGGGGCATGAAGTCCTAGCAGCTCCCTCTCCCAGCTCTTGCACCATACCCTCTGGGTTAAGTCACAGTCCACTGAAAACCCTTTCTTCTCTTGCTTAGTCTTCCTGGCTGTCCAGAAGAGCAAGCCTATCAGCAAGAAGGAAATGATTCAGAGGTCCAAACGGTAAGACCAAGAAAACAAGAGTATGTATACAAGTGTAAAGCAGGCCAACAAGTGGTCAGGAGCTCTGGCTTGCACCCAGAATAAAGGCATTATGCTCAAGTTTAAACATTATGAGAAAGTTGTGAGAGTCATTTCTCACTTATGGCACTGAAAAAAAAAAATAGCACATCATGGTATGAATGACTCATATGCAAAAGATGAAAAACTCCTCACTGATTTGCATGCTTAGGATCCTCTTTGTCAGAAACCTAAATTTAAATAAAGAATATTTTAGGCCGGGTGCGGTGGCTCACGCCTGTAATCCCAGCACTTTGGGAGGCCGAGGCAGGCGCATCACTTGAGGTCAGGAGTTCGAGACCAGCCTGACCAACATGGTGAAACCCTGTGTCTACTCCAAATACAAAAATTAGCCGGTCGCGGTGGTGCACTCCTGTAATCCCAGCGACTCTGAAGGCTGAGCCGGGAGGATCCCTTGAACCTGGAAGGCAGAGGTTGCAGTGAGCTTAGATGGCGCCACTGTACTTCAGTCTGGTAGTCTCAGAGTGAGACTCCATCTCAAAAAAAAAAAAAAAAGATTATTTTGAAATAAAATTAAGTAAGTTTTTGGGCCTCACCTTTTATTTTAGCAATCCCATTTCTAGGAATTGATCCAATAGGGTGAGAAATAACAGTGTTCTCCAGAATACATTAAGTTAAACTTTTTTAAAAAATTAAATTTTCGAAGCATGTGAACACTGTTACCACTTGTGGTCTTTAAAAATAAGTATTTGTGCCTATGTAGATGTGTATACTTTTAGATGCATAGAATGTTTCTGGAAGACAGAAAAAACTGATAATACTGATTGCCTTTGGAAAGGAGAACTGATATAGTAGATTTTTTTACTTTTTATAATTTTCGAATTTTGTGCCATGATGAACGAACATTAGCTACTCATTAATTAATTGATTTGAGTGTTGGGTGTGGTGGTACATTTCTGTAATTCTGCCTACTCAGGACTCTTAGGTGAGAGAATCTCTTAAGCCCAGGAATTTGAGACTGCAGTGAGCTATGATCAATCACACCATTATGCTCCGACCTGGGTAACGAACTGAGACTCTGTATCTAAAAAATAATAAATAAATTTTTAAAAAATTAATTCATTTAAGATATTCATATATTGATCATGAGAATGCCAGAGAATAAGTTAAGGTTGACTTTTTTAGGCATTCATTGGAGACTTGCTTTAATAAGAATAGTTTCTTAGTTGGCATAATGCTTCTGAAGTAACGGTGCTTTAAAACCATTTATCTCATGGACTTGAAGCATTCCTCTTGAAATCTTGTTTTTACTCTCTATCTAGTCAGCCCTTATAGGCAATCCAAAGGAATGCTTTAGATGCTTTAGTCCAGTGGTTCTCAGAGAGTGGTCTATGGGGTCCTGGAAGTTGCTGAGACCCTTTCAGGCGATTTGCAAGGTCAAAATTAATTTCAGAATGACACCAGGATGTTCTGTGCCTTTTTTGCTGTGTTGGCTATTTGCACCAATGATACAATAGTAATGGGAGAGGAGTAAAACCATTGGTGTGTTATCACTATTCATGACAGTGGCACCAAACGATACTAGTCTAGTAGGCATTGTGTCCTGCACAGCCTCCCGCCAGGAGTGTGATGGAAGAACAAGGAAACAGTGTAAATGGAGGTACACAGGAAGCACTTCCTTTGCACAGTGAAAGATGATGACTGTTTCAAGGAAAAGCACTTATGCCATGGTTTGTGTCGTGAGCCGAACCAGCTGCCTTTTTCATGGAACGTGACTTTTACTTGAAAGAGTAACTGACAGAAAACCAATTATTCTGACTTGTGTTTGTAACAGACATTTTCTTGAAAATGAAAAAGTGAGTCTGTGACTTCAGGAAAATGTCCAACGGTATCTGTTGCCAAAGAAAATGTGAGTTTTCACGCCAACAACAGAATTCTAGAAAACTTGTGTTGACCACCATGGGCTTGATGACTTCTTAGTACTTAGACCTTTCTGATGAGATAAGCAGTGACGTTAACAAATGTGATGTTTTTCATGTTACCTAAATAAATTTGTCAACATTTGGAAGAGCTGCATAACTCCCTGGACCAGGATTTTCCAAATGATTGTTGCTTTTTGTTACAAAATCAGGGAATAGAAGATTCATTCAAATAGTACAAGGTAGACTGATGGATATTTATGTAACAGAATAGGAAAAGTTTACTGACATGTTTCCAGATTCTGCCTTGCAACTAATTTTTAAGAAACTACCACTTGTCAGCCAGGCACAGTGGCTCACGCCTGTAATCCCAGCACTTTGAGAGGCCAAGGTGGGCAGATCTCTTGAGGTCAGGAGTTCACGCCTGGCCAACATGGTGAAACCCTTCTCTACTAAAACTACAAAAATTAGCTGGACGTGGTGGCGGGTACCTGTAATCCCAGCTACTCTGGAGGCTGAGGCAGGACAATTGCCTGAACCTGGGAGGCAGAGGTTGCAGTGAGCCAAGATCGCGCCACTACACTCCAGCCTAGGCAACAAGTGCGAAACTCTGTCTCAAAAAAAAAAAAAAGAAAAGAACAGAAACTCTCACTTATCAAGTTTGGGTGTAGTATCAAAGAGAATCAAGAGTTACCCGAAAAGAATAGTGCAATAACTTCTCTCGTTTCCAAGTACGTGAACAATCTATATGTAAGCTGGATTTTTTTAATACATACTTTAACCAGAGCAAGAAGGGACAGCATATTTAATACAGAAGCAGATATGAGTCCAGCTGTCTTCCATTAAACCAGACATTAAAGAGTTTTCAAAAAAATGTAAACAGTGCCACTCACTAAAATTTTTTGGTTTGCAAAACATCTTTATTTCTCATTAAAAATACAGGTTTCTTATGTTAATGTGTCACAGGCTTATTTTTATTTCAAGTGAATTAAAAAATAAAGTTTTTCTTAATTTTTAATTTTAATTTTTAATACAGTATCAGTAGATAAAACCTACATTGGGATCTTCATCTTTTAGGAGTGTGAAGGGGGTCCTAAGTCTAAAATATTTGAGAACCACTGCTTCATTCTAACTCAGTCACAAAATGAAATTAGGGAAATTATACGGGGTTTGTTGTGGGGCCGCTACTTATACTCTCACCTCAGCAAGAGCAGTCCCTGCTGTAAGTGGCACCAAACGATACTAGTCTAGTAGGCATTGTGTCCTGCACAGCCTCCCGCCAGGAGTGTGATGGAAGAACAAGGAAACAGTGTAAATGGAGGTACACAGGAAGCACTTCCTTTGCACAGTGAAAGATGATGACTGTTTCAAGGAAAAGCACTTATGCCATGGTTTGTGTCGTGAGCCGAACCAGCTGCCTTTTTCATGGAACGTGACTTTTACTTGAAAGAGTAACTGACAGAAAACCAATTATTCTGACTTGTGTTTGTAACAGACATTTTCTTGAAAATTAAAAAAGTGAGTCTGTAAGGACCTAGGAAGCTTGCCTACAGGAAGACAGGCAGGACGTCTCCTATAACATATCAATGCTTTCAACCAGAAATATACTTATATGAGTGGATTTAGTGCCCATCTTCTGGAGAGACTTGAGTTTTTAAACTGGTACATTATCATTAGGTTGCTTCTATTCATGTTTATTTCTTATGTGGCCTCTTTTCAAGGAAGTGATCTGTTTCCATCTGAGAATCTTAACTATCTTCTAGTAACTCTTAATATTTAGGAAAGTACAACCCAGACCCAGCAAGTTAGGGTCACAGCTGGGGTTAGAGCCCGGTGTTTGGCCTTCAATTGTGTCCTATTAAGGATTTGTATCTCTGGAGCCTGTGTTACTCATCTTTTGTCATCATCTGTCTCTACGAAAGATATTTAAAGGTTCCTGTGAGAAGGAAAGATTTCAAGAGGAAAGAACATAGCTCTTTTATTTGGAAGTACTTGTTCCAGAGTGGCCTTCAGGAGACACCTTCACCTTCTCTAATATGTTTCCTGCGGAGCCCTGCATCAATCTAGTGATTTGTTTTTTCCAGATTATAGAAAACTCTGGGAAATATAGAGAAAAGTAGAAAAAAGAAAATGAATATCACTTATCATCCTTCCATCTAAACGTAATACTAGTCCTATTTTTGGTGGGAGGTGTGGGAATTTTGCAGAGACCTGCATAACACACACTTTCTTCCCTCAAATTGTAGATCATACTGCATATACAGGTTTGTATCTTGCTTTATTTTACTCAACATGTTGTGAACCTTTCCTGTGACATTCAAAATTCTGAAACTTTTGTTTCATGTACATGAAACATACTTGTAACATATACATTCCATTATTACTTCATAATCTATTTAACTGTTGTTTTGTTGGAAACGTATTTACAATGAGAGTGCATTTATCAAATGCACATTTGTGTTTCTCCCAACTTAAAATCATTGCCACCCAATCCCTGCTAGAACAGATCCCATGTTTTTCACGTGGCCACAAGATGCTCCGCAGCCCGCCTCACCCTCACCCTGCCTGTTTCCCACCTATTCCTTTACACTCCTTTTCAGGAAGCCTCGACTCCATTTTTACCAATACCCATTTTCCCTGCCTTGAGTGTCTTCTGCCTTTCTCCCCATTTGCTTTCTGCTCTTACCTTTTTTTGTTTGTTTGTTTTGCTTTTTGAGATGGAGTCTCACTTTATCGCCCCACTGGAGTGCAGCAGTGGGTCAATCTTGGCTCACTGCAACCTGTGCCACCCAGATTCAAGCAATTCTCTTGCCTCAGCCTCCTGAGTAGCTGGGGTTACAGGCACCTGCCAACGCTCCCACCTAATTTTTTTTTTTTTTTTTTAGTTTTAGTAGAGACGGGGTTTCACCATCTTGGCCAGGCTGGTCTTGATCTCCTGACCTCATGATCCACCCGCCTCTGCCTCCCAAAGTGCTGGGTTTACAGCCTTGAGCTACCACACCTGGCACTCCTGTCTATTCTTAAGACCCAACTTACCTCTAATTTCGTCTCTGGAGCCTTTCCCAGCCTCCTTCTATAAGACTATGTTTCTTCTCTAGAACGTTTTATAGATGTGACCATTTTAGTACTTTCCCATAATTTTGCTAGTGTTTACAAATACAATAGTAACACTGTTCATAATCTTATATTGAAACAATCCATTTTTGCATGTAGAGTAGAAAGCAGAAGTTCACCTTTCCCTGATTTATCTCACTCCTTTCCCCACTTTATCCCACTCCTTTCCCAGACATAAGCACTATTAGGATTTTATTGTGTTTGTATTTCTCTCTCTCCCCTTCCAGATTGTGAGCCCCCAAGCCAGAGTTCTCTGTGCTGGAGTTTCTAACGAGGCCCACGGCCTTTCTGGGAGGGATGAGCTCCTGGAGAGTGGGAGGCATAGGGAGGGATGGTGACAGGAGATCTTGTGCCTGTGCACCCTGGTAACCTCCCCACTTTCTGTCCTTTCGCTGGTGCCATTTCTAAGGATTTATGAGCAGCTTCCAGAAGTACAGAAAAAGAGAGAAGAAGAGAAGAGAAAATCAGAATATAAGTCATACCGACTGCGAGCCCAGCTATATAAAAAGGTCAGTGGGTCCTCTGTCTATAGTGGGATGGATCAGGTTTATTGGGGGAAAGAGAAATGGAGAAAACATGTTGCCTCTTGAGTGTACAGTCAGAATGAACCACATTTGAGGAATGAACTTAGAATGCACTGGACCAGTATTGAAATTTGGAAGAAGGCATCTGTAATTAGACTTCAAATCAGGTTTAGCTCCCCGTCCATAATTATGTAAGGCCCTTTCCATGCATTAATTTGGAGTGAAACCAAATTTCGCACACAGGAGTTCATTAACATATCATGGTGGAAATATCAGAATTATCAGGTTTCCATTCCAGAGTCCCAGGTGGTGACTTCATGCCCCTCACTGGTGAGTCAGATACCTCCAGAACTGTTAAACTGGAAAATGTTTGACTGAGGCATAAGAGTTGTCCACTTGGATGGCCCGAGGCCTCCAACTTGTCACCATTCCCTGCCCATAGTCCCAGTGGAGTCAGCGGTGCTGTTAAGTCCAAGAACCTCACGGGACAGCATTGGTGCTACCAGTTAATTCTCTGAGAACCCAGACCGGTTCCTGTGCCTGAAGGGCCATATCCTTCACTGTACTTGTTTCCTTCTCACCCCCTCAGTCACTGGACTGATGTGGGATGGGAGCTGCTTCTGGAGCAGGCCCCAGAACCCAGGCGGGTGCCTCAGGTGGAAGGCCCCAGGCACCACACCACATATCTGCTGTGTGAGCATCGCAGGGCCAGACCTCTCCTTATGCTGCTGTATGTGGGAACTGATGGATTATCTGTGTCTGTAGAGAAGTAATAGATATTGATTACAGATCCTCTTTCCTGAATCTTTCAGGAAGCATTTTTTATATGATGACCACAGTTTCTGAAGCAGAGTAAAATGAACAAGACTTGAGTAGGACCACACTGATTCTCCTTGGTGACATGGCTGCGGGGAGGAGTGGCATCTGCCTCTGGTGACAATAATATCTAACTTCTTTCCTGCCTTTTCTTTCTTCTACAGAGAGTGACCAATCAACTTCTGGGGAGAAAAGTTCCCTGGGACTGACACAAGTTTATTTTCCTCAGAGCCTTGGAATTCTATTTTATGAACCTAGAGAAGCACAATCCTTACTTTTGTGAGTCTGATTGAATAAAGCTTATTCTTTGTCCATGTGTACTTCAGAAATAGTACCTTCTAAAGAGTCTGGAGCAGAGTGGTGATTAAAATTCCTAATGGTTTGGGAGCAATACTTTCTTCATAGTGGCCTGTCCATTGGGCTCTGTGTTACAATGATATGATCAGTTCTCAAGAGTGAGTCCCTTTTTGTATGTGTTTTTATACTTTTAGAAAATAAAAACTTTAGATTAACTCATAGTAAACAATTCTTTCCCATCTGAAGAGGTGCAAGGAGCTATGCATTGTCTCTACCGAGGTGTTTAAATGCATCAGTTGAGGAAAATGGGCTTTCAGAATGAAATGTAGTCTGTCTCTTTAGAAACACAATGTGCTGTAGTGGGAGCACTGTTGTGGGCTTTAAGGAGAGGGTGTCTGGTTAGATGCCCACCGGGTGCACCCAGAGACTGCTGCAGGAGAGGCATCTTGGATCCAGAGCCTCCTCTCAGCCCCAGTCCAGCTCCCACAGGGACCCTGTGTAGGCTGGGGAGAAAGGCCACCAGCCTTGGCTGACGGATCTTCCTCCACCCACACTCTCGGTTTTGGGATTAAAGCCTCAGACCATTTATCATTACACGTGAACCCAACACTTACAACATAAAGAAGGACAACTTCTGAAAAAGATGAGTCAATGACTGAGATAAAGCACTTAACCCAGTAACTGCATCAGAATGTAACAGGATTTTTTTTTTCATGTGGCCTGAAATTACAGCTGAGGCCCAAAGTGATGGAGGAAGGTTTTCAACAGCCTCACTCTAAGTTCAGCAAATCCCAGTACTAAGGTTGGCAAGGTCCAGTCGTCCACTAAGAAGGCTTCCTGGGAGGCTGGATCCAAGCAGGCCCTGCCCTGGAGCACAGTTCAGAGCTTTCAGATCCTGCCCCCTGGGTTCCCTGCCAGGAAGAGGACACTGGGAAAAGAACCCATGGTGCATGAGGTCAACTGCTAGTTCTTCCCTTTCTTGCTAGGCAAGGTAATTAAGCACTTTTGGCCAATTTACCTGTAAAATGAGAGGGTTAATACCGCTAAGCCTCTCTTTACATAATCTCTAAAACAATGTGACTATTTCCACGTCTTGTGAGACATTATTATTCAGAGTAGAAACAAATTGTTGTCTCAAATCTGGGTCTGCAGAGAACACAGGGGCAAGATGGAGTCTGATGAGGAATGATGAGCATGATTCTCTCTAGGCCCAAGGCTGTGGCATCCAGACACCTTCCCAGGACAGTTAGATTTGGTCCTGGGAGGCCCAGGTGGCATTTGCCAGCCAGCTCCTCAGGAGAACTCATTAGCATCTCCACTGGGTTCCTTTAAACCAGAAATCTATGGACTTGCTTTCACATTATAGCAGTATTCCCCCAGGCCACCAACCATGCAGGTGGCAGGAAGGGGATGTGTTGTGGAGAGTCTCACAACTGCAGTCTTCCTGCCTGTCCTGTGTCAGGAGACCTCTGGCTGAGCGCAGGTTGAAGAATCCAGGCATCAGCCTCACAATCCCAGGGACTCCCTCAGTGTCCGTTCTGCCCCGGCGCTCAGGATGGCTTCCCACACTACACAGTTCTGTGTGGGCTGAGAGCACCTGCTACAAACCACAGAGTCACCACCTCGTGCAGCCACTCCTGCAGCCGTCAGACTTTCCCCATGCGTGGCAGGACCTTGAGCCTCTTGTTTTGTTTTGGTTTGGTTTTTGTTCTTGCACAGGTGCAGGAAGCCCAAGCGGAGGCTGCATCATTGCCCCTGGTTCTGAACTGTGGTGAGATTCACTTTTGAATTGCTTCATCCTAGGCCTAGATCACACCTAACCTGGGAGGCACCACCTTCTTCCCTCCTGGAGGTGAGACTCCAGCCTCCTCAGTCAGTCCCCTTCCCTGAGGGCAGCTTCTGATTCAGCCTCTCGCCAGCAAAGACCACCATGCAGGTATTTTTGGGGGAGAGGATCTATGAAGAAAGCAGTCTTTTAACTGTAAATCACAATGCGTTTTGTATGTTCCCAATGACTCTTTGGAATAATCAAATGAATGATTGTTTGGAACATTGTCTTGATGTTATCAAAACAAAAAGAAACCGGGATTTATTCCCCTGGCAAGTAACAGATGACTTTCCATGAGAGCGCAGGTTTTGAACAAAGGAGTTTTATTACCTGTCACAAGTAAGGAGAGCACTGGGAGTGTTCTCCAAAGCATTGTCTCCCAAGAGAAAATGACAGGAGGGCTTTATGTGGTGTTGAAGACGGGAGAGGGTGCATCATCGCATGTAGAGGAGGGTTCCCAGTGGCACAGATGCAGTGAGTCAGGTGCCAGCACACAGGTCGCATGTTATGGTAATGAAGCTACAGGTCTCCTGGGGTGCAGGCTTTAGCATGGTCATGGGGAAAGTTCACTGGGGTTCATGTGTAAGTTGTCGGGGTCTCTCGGGAGCTGGTTCCAACCAACTAGGTGACCACATTTCACACAGGGTTTGGGATAAAACTGGCTTCAAGACAAGAGGCTCTAAAACAGGCTGATTGCTTGAATTTACAAAATTCCTGTACTCCCTGGTTCCCTCCCTGTTGGCCTACAAATTTCCTCCCCTAGAGATATGTCACTCCTCATTCTGGAGAGGTCATTATTCTGTAACTTCATGCTGATTAGGGATACCGTGTCCAGAGATATTAGGGGAGTGAAAATCTCTGGACACTAAATCTAAATGTGTTTTGGGGTCTCCCAGGATAGGCTGCAAAGGCTGGTATTGTTGTTGGAAGCTGCAGTTGAAATTTTTCTAATCTGGAAAATGCAAATTTTACCAAGAGATTTAAGATCCAGGGACCAAACAGCAGTAGTATAAACAATAAAGTTAGTGGTTCTACCAGGGGCAGAGTATTACCAAGTAATTAGTATTGCCCATTTGGTAGCTTCCCAAAAAAAGTCAGAACTATGGCCCTGTGGATTAAAAGTGTGTAACCAAGAGGCTTGGGCATAGACCTTAATGTCAACTTCTTTTTCCCCTGAGGTGTTTACTCAGGGGCAGCAAGAGGAATTAGTAACTGCACACGCTCCTCCCTGTTCCACTAAAAGATTGTCTAATACTATACCGTTACCTAGCACCAGAGTAACCAAGGAGTCAACTGAGGATGCTAAAGACTCAAGTTTTCTAGTCCAGTTTTTTACAGTGGTTTCATGATAAGCGTATCCCCAAAGAGCAGCCATCCTGGATGCTGCTCCCATCCCCCCCAAAATTAAACTCATTGCTCTTTTGACCTGACTTGTAGTAGACCCACCTCAGCAGCCTCCATATCAGAGGGGCCCGCAGGCCAGTTGTACATTGTCCTTCCATCCAAACGTTCTCCATGCAGGAATGAGCGATGCCAAGTGGGGTAAAGGGAAGGAACCTGGGGGCAAAGAGGCGTGGGGTAGATGTTTGTGGGGGACCCACAGACCAACACATGCCCCCTGAGGGGCACATACTCATTTGGGGATAAAGATATTTAGGTGGGCGCAGTGGCTCACACCTGTAATCCCAGCACTTGGGGAGGCCGAGGCAGGCAGATCACTTGAGGTCAGGAGTTCGAGACCAACCTGAGCAACATGGTGAAACCCCATCTCCACTAAAAATACAAAAATTAGCTGAGTGTGATGGTGTGTGCCTGTAATCCCAGCTACTCAGGAGGCTGAGACAGGAGAATCGCTTGAACCCAGAAGGCGGAGGTTGCAGTGAGCTGAGATCGTGTCTCTGTACTCCAGCCTGGGTATCAGAGCAAGACTCTGTCTCAAGAAAAAAGACATTTAATAGTTGTGCTATTTGGCTTCAGGTGCCATTATTCTTGCATAAAGGGAGACAGTCCCACCCCGCAGGTGGTCCCTATCCCTGCAGTCAGCTGAGATATTATTCTTCTAAGCTGTTGGCCTGTTTACCTGGGTGTACCAGAAACTGGGGCTTGGTATTCCTCAGCATGAACTGCATTTACTGCTCTGTCTCCAATATTTTTTAGTGATGTTCATGTCAGGACACCAATAATAAAGGCTGGTATTGTTGTTGGAAGCTGCAGTTGATTTGAGACGGAGTCTCGCTCTGTCGCCCAGGCTGGAGTGCAGTGGCCGGATTTCAGCTCACTGCAAGCTCCGCCTCCCAGGTTCACGCCATTCTCCTGCCTCAGCCTCCCAAGCAGCTGGGACTACAGGCGCCCGCCACCTCGCCCGGCTAGTTTTTTGTATTTTTTAGTAGAGACGGGGTTTCACCGTGTTAGCCAGGATGCTCTCGATCTCCTGACCTCGTAATCCACCTGTCTCGGCCTCCCAAAGTGCTGGGATTACAGGCTTGAGCCACCGCGCCCGGCCTGGACACCAATAATTCATATTGGGGTGGCAGGTGGTAGTGTTCAAGGAGACCAGTTACCTCTGTTTTGTGTCTGGTCCTGTCTCAGTGTAGTAAGTCTGCCCTGGAGGAATTTCACAGCTTCTGCCTACTTGCTGTAAGGCTGAGCCATTTAGCAAGGTTGACACCTAGGTGACATTTGCTAAAGAGGTGCTAGTCAACATGATGCAAGGGATTTCCTCACTTTCTGGGAAGACGGTAACCCCAGGGAAGGGGAGCTTGCTCCAGTTCTGTGGGTGAGAGTGAAATGTGAGGATTGCCACAAGTCCTGTCACTTGGGCAGACCAAGCTCATGAGTGTCTATAGCATATCCAGCATTGGAACAGGCTATTTCCCTTCACTGCTATGTGGGGAAAACTGTTGTATTGTCTTCCCAGAGACCACTGGCCATGGTAATAAAAGAAACTAACCAGTAGAGAGGGACCAAGTTCATTGTATATACTATATGATGATTTAGCAGCAGTTAAGAGTTTTTACAGAATGTAAAAGAGCATAGAGATTCCTCTAAAAATGAAGAAATTCCTGATACATCGAGAGCATTGCAAGGGCACATTTTGCTTATCTATGCCCCTTCTGTGGAAAAGGAGCTTACGATCAGAGGCCAGTTCATAGGAATAAGTTGGATCTAATGAAGCCTGGTCTGAGGGTGCTGGTGCAGGCTTCATTCTGGAATGACAGATCCAGGGTCTGAGCCCCTGCAATTTAAGAGAAGAGTGAGTGGTTATCAGCACAGGGTAGGGCCCCATCCAGACAGGATTTAGCTGGTCTTGAGGTGATTTAGATGTCCAAGTCTTAAGGTGAACTCAGTCTCAAGGTTGATACGGGTGAAGCTTAACATCAGTGGGAACTGGAAGACAGGTTCACATATTGCTTGAGAGCTTGTATTAATTTTCCTAAATATACAATATGTTTTACATCCCTCTCAGTCTCACCATCAGGGCATGTCAAAGGTTCCATTTTGCCAGGGTAAACTCTTCCATATAGTAATTCAAAAAGGCTAAGTCTCACTTTCCCTTTTGGTGCCAGCTGAAGTCATGTTAGTGTGATGGAGAGGCACTTTAGCCAGCTTTCATGAGTTTCCTGGCATGGTTTAGCTAAAGTGACCTTTACAGTTCTATTAGTATCTTTGTCCTTTTCAGATGACTGGGGCCTCCAGTCTGCATGTAACCTCCATTTGATTTCCAAAGCAGAGAATACCCCCTGGCTAACTTCGGAAATGAAGGCAGCTCCATTGTTACTCTGGATCAATCAAGGCAAGCCACACTTCCAGAGGATGTCTTTGAGTAAAGCTCTGGCATCATTTGCCTTTTCTGTGTGACAAGGTAAGGCTTCTATCCAGCCAGTAAAGGTGTCCACACAAACCAGCTGGTACATGAAGTTTCCAGGTGCCTGGAGCATCACTGTAAAGTCTGTGTGCCATTCTTCTCCTGGTATGCCCGCCCCCGCCCCTTAGTTGAGGCACAGCCAGCCTGGTCTGAGCATTATTTTGTACACATTTGTGGCATCTGTTGGAGATTTAGTCTGTTTTACCACTTGGATCGGGTACCTTTATTACCCTCATCAACCAATTCCTTAAGGTTTTGATATGGTTAGGCTTTGCCTCCCCACCCAAATCTCATCTTGAATTGTAATCCCTGTAATCTCCACATGCCTAGGGAGAGACCTGGATAGATGATTGAATCATGGGGGAGGTTTCTCCCATGCTGTTCTTGTGATAGTGAATTCTCACAAGATCTGATGGTTTTTTAAGGGTCTATTTCCCCTTTGCCCCTCACTCTTCTCTCTCTTGCCGCCATGTAAGAAAGCCTAAGCTTGCTTCCCCTTTGCCTTCTGCCATGATTATAAGTTTCCTGAGGCCTCCCCAGCCATGCAGAACTGTGAGTCCATTAAACCTCTTTCCTTTACAAATTACCCAGTCTCAAATATTTCTTTAGAGCAGTGTGAGAACGGACTAATAACATACCAAAATGTGATGGTTCATGGACATATTTAATTATTGCCCAGCCTATGTTTTCTGGAATCTAGAGTCTTCCTTTATCATTAATACCTCATCCTTCCAAATCCAAATGTGGGAGATACCCTTCCCATTTGGATTTTTCTAATTTCTGAGTAATAGGGCTGAAACTTGTGGAGTGACAAATCTGGGGATCAGGGTCATTTGCAAACGTTCAACTGTTCATGCTGCCTTCTTAGCAGCTGTGTCTGCTAGGTTATTTCCTTTTATAACCTCAGAATTCCCCTCTGGTGTTCCCAGCAGTGGACCACCACTAACCTTTTAGGTCACTGTACTGCCTGTAAGAGCTGTAATATTTCTTATGCAGCCTTCTCCTTATTGTCCACAGTCAGGGTCCCAAGGGAGAGAATCCCAGAGGCATACTTGTCATCTCTCTAGGAATGGGGAAGGATTTTCATTAGGGTCTTGTTCTGTTTCCTGGAGTTTTCCCCAATTGATTGGCTTTCTTCCCTCATGCCTTTGAGTAGCATATTGCTATAATGATCCCTATTATCACTGGAGTCCCAGTTTGGGTTGGTTGTTGGGACTGACACCTCAGCAGCCAAGTAGGTTTGGTAGCCCATGTTATCAGCCTACATTTTGTCTGCCTCTTCCTTAGCTTTGGCCATGATGATAGATTTCTTTTCCACCATGAGCAGAGTTGCCATTAAGGTCTGCATGTCTGGCCAGGTGAGGTTATGTGTGAAGAATATTCCCCTTATGAGAGTTCTGAACTCTCATGGGCTCACCGGTAAGCCTTCAATATTGGATTTCTCATTATACAAATCAGCAGTTGTAAGGTACATAGACCCAAGCAAAACCTCCGTCTCCATTAGACACCTGCCTGGTGGGAACCATCCCACTCTGGGGTTCCCTCTCAGGGAACTTGGTATGCTGGTAACTTGAGCTACCAAATCTACTTGACTACTGAGGTGTCAGTCTCAACACAACCCAAACTGGGACCCCAGTGATAACGGGGATCAACAACGGCCAGATCATTGTAGGAATATGCTGCTCAGAGGCATGAGGGAAGTAAATCAGCTGCCAATCAGAAGGGGAGTGGTGAGTGGTGCTGCCTGGCAGAGAGATACATCTGCAAGCCTCATAAAATGAGTTGGGATGAGGTTTTTCTTTTTTATTCTCTAGAGGAATGTAATGTAATTTATTGCTTAAATGCTTAGGAGAATTCACCAGTAAAACCCATCTGGGCCTGGATTTTCTTTTGTGGAAATCATTTTTTTGAATAACTATTCAGATTTCAGTTTCCTTTTATGCCAAGGTTTGGTAAATTGTGTTTCAAGTAATTTGTTCATTTCATAGAAATTTACAGATTCGTTGATCCTATGTTATAATATCCTTTTGTTAATGTCTGGAGATTCTAGGATCTATAGTGATGTTCCATTTTGATTCCTGATATTATTTTTGCCTCCTGTCGTTTTTACTTGATCACTCTTTCCAAGGGGTGTATAAATTTCACTAGTATTGTCAAATAACCCACTTTGGGTTTTACTGATTTTTCTCTATCATATATTCGTCTTGTATTGATTTTTTGTTGTTGTTTATTTTGGGGCCTGCTGTTGCCACAGCAGGAGCCACAGCCTGCTCCACAGAATTGGGAGGGCCTGGCAAGTATGGAGGAAGACCCTTGCTTTCCCCTAGAGGTGCCGAGAGTTTAATTCCTGAAGAAGTAGGGGGATTATTTTCCTGTATTGGCAAAGGTTCTGGTTTTGAGTAAGACTAGAGGACCTCACTTCTCTTGAAGGAGAAGTAGAGAGGCTCCTCCTCATTCCTTTCCCTACAAGTTCCCACATGACTGGTTCTTTCTCTCCAGGGGCTTCTAGAATTAGCAACATTGTTCCCTTTGGTCCTTTGGCCAATTACATATCCTGCATTTCTTCTGTAGGGCTGGGTGTTGATAGAGGGCCATAAGACATTATACATAGGGTATTTTATCCCATTTACCTTATTTCTTACAAAATAAGTCCCAGTTGGAGAATTGTATTATTAATGTATGTAAGTAACTCATGTTCAGACCATCTCTCCTGATTCCCTAGGGAACACTGGGGCCACATGGTATTACAGTGGTATATCATTTGCTTATTGGTCATGGATATGGGTATCCAAATAGTTTTCAATGCCGGAGAAGGCACTCTAGCGGGCTCTCCTCCAGTATTAAGACC